ACACTCACAACTGCAACACTCTTCTTGATGTAGCAATTTTTTCGGCTCTTTTAGCCTGCAGCACACAACGCATAATAGATCGCCATCTAGATATGACATTGGAAAACGCCGCACTTCTCACTACAATCAATTAGGTAGAGCACGTTGGGCCTCTACAAAGATTCAAATTTGATAGTCTAGATCCCGACCTACTTTATCCCGCGATTAAAAATTTTTCTTAATTCTCCGGTCCTAAATTTGAACGCTTTGAATATATCCGCTTTATATCTAACAGAACACATACTTTCATCATAATCAGGATCGGCTCGGCGCTCTATACTATATGGACAGGGTAACTCTTAGTGGGATAGCTCCTGCAAAGTTTCTCGATAAAGATACAGAATAATCATTAGGCGTCCCCTAACAGAGGTTGAATTTTCAGAGGCAAGAAAAGTATATCAAAAGGCTATCAAAAAGGCGAAGAATAATTTTTTCATGAACATCACACAGAAAGCTAACATGACTAAAAATATCTTTATAGTGCCTGAATGGTGTAAATTATCAGGCTCCTACCTAAAACCTCTTCTAAACAAAACAAGATTATCGGACAGGGCCCCGGCCAAAACTTTAGAAGAGACAAAGGCAGTTTTTGTTGGCTACCATCTAGCAAACCTCATGCAAGCAGAGGATAGTCCCCTTAATGCTCCTACGCTAGGCAAACCAGGAACCTATGACACAATGTTAAACGCTGATAATTCAACTCCTACTAGTGACGAGACCTCGACTATCATTTTAACATATGCATGGCCCCACATCTCAAACTACGTCTACTTCGTCTACCACAGCCGCATTACACTGGGATTTCATTCATCCTGATCCCTCTAGGCGAACCTTATTATGATACAGAAGCCTAATAAAATTGAACTACCCATCCCTCGCCCCTATGCTAATTGCAGTACTATCAGTTCTAGATAAGGGTTCGGAACTATTATTTTCTAAGCGCATAACTTGAATTATATTCGACCATAAAGTCAAATCTAGCCAATATCCTGGTGCTCTCTTCGGTAGATCCGCTGCAGCTCTAACTACTTATCTCGTTCTAGACGTTGAAATAGCTTTGGGTGAAGGGTGCACCGCAAGTATGCTCGTATTAGATATTAAGAAGTCCTTTTACGCAATACTTTGCGGTAGAGCTGTGAGGCGTATGCTTAATAAAAGATATCTCGATCACCAAGTTAATTTGGTGAGCTACTTCGCTACTGACTACCCTGTATGGATCAAACTATATGGGGTAACTAGCCTGCTGCAACAAATAAGATGTGGCCTTAACTACAGCCCGCTTATGTCCCAAATAATATGCATATTTTACATTTCTCCTCTATTTAGAATGGGTTGCCCTTCCTGTAGATTCGGATATGTTGACGACATTGCTTTTCTTGGGACTCGTAAGACGTCCCAAGAAATTTGAACCCTACTGACACATTTTCTAAGACTACCACTGGCTCTAGGCGACGAGGAAGATATAGCTTCTGATCCTGGTAAGTTAAAATTTAATAATTTTCGCATCGACGTATGGGCAAAAATCTTCAGGATGAGCCAACTATCACTTTGGACGATTTATTAGTTACCGAAAATGTGGCACGCCTGAACACTAGGTGACTCGTCATACATTTAGATGAGGCTCCTTTTTTCAAATGGGATTTCAAAATTCTCACAAACAATGTTTTGAAGGTAGCGAATGCTCCTCGCTGCTTCAGATACACCACATGTGAGACCTCATCAAACTTGAAACGTCAAGTTGTAAGCGCTTGTATATTTTCCATCACATTTCATGGTTCCATATCTTGGTGGCCATTCCGCCATACGGTTTTACTGTAGAGCACCAAAATCTTAAATTGTTTCGAAAACCACAATTCTTTTCTACGCAAAGTCGTACTGACAAACATCAAAGCCATACTATTTTTCTATCCGACGACACCTACGAAAACGATCATTTGTGAATACAAGATCCTCCTCCCCACCAAAAATTGAGCTGGACACAAAGCTACAAAAAGCTGCCCTCTGTATATTTCGCCTTGACTCGGAATACCCCTTCCGTCACCGGGCTACTCAGGCTCAAATATATGGAAGACGCTTATCTCTATTCTCTATATTGATCCTTAGTCAACCTAAAACAGAATATAATAATTCTCTGGTTTGTTCTCGGAAAAATTAAAAAAATGGCGCGCAAGGAATAGACAGAGATCAGCGTGGGTCGGATTTGCTACTCGCGTGATAGACAGCGTGATCATCTTCTAGGCAGGTTGACCCGTGCTTCGAAAAACCACGCCCTTAGTCTACTCTGGATACTTTCGACGCAAAAGCTAAGGTGGCCCTATAAGGCATGGAGCTGGCTTCTTAACCCCCCTCTACTCACTTCTCGAACGACCTATGAATACTTCTAGATAGCCTTAATGCAGCCTGACTCCTTCCAAATCTGCTTACCACAAAAAGCCTTATTAAAATTTGCCAGCAGAGCATGCGCCCGACCTGATCAGTAGAGTCTTTCACACAAGACACTAGTTAAAGTTTAAGTTCAATAGAATCCTGGATACGTCGGAATCGTGGAACACCTTCGCTGACGGGGCTACTAATGAAACTATTTCTATGCCTTTGCACTCTCCAAGCAAACTCTCCCTCGCACCGACAAAATTCTAGGCTAAGAATGCATTGCCAACAGCCCTAGAGAATTTTATGGGACGGAATTCCACCAATTATTTCAGGGTCTCAACATCAAAATCTTAAAAAGTTATATCAGCGAACTCCCGCTTACAAGACCTTTCTGACCGTACATTTAGAGTGCTCGGGTAGTAAAAGTTAATTTTGCCTCTTATCATGAACAATTTGATCACGGAAACGCACAAGTCTATTACAGCTATGGTGAACATGGGTATCCGTACCACTTTGTGAATTGTAGATTACTTTATCAAGGGCTTCCAATGCACCCAATATTCAGCCGACAGGGAAAATTTTCCCCTTGGTATTTTCCAAAGAGCCTGCATGCTCACTTAATAGATGGAAATCCCCAAAATTTTCAGACATACCTTCTCAAGATTCCCGCGCATGGATATACCAACTTGGATCTTTACTTTATTCTTTCTTTTTGTCGGAATACTCGGGTGGTATTTGTATCACAAGCTTTCTACAGCAGTGATGACAATTGTGGTTAACATATATCTTGAGTCTTGTCTAATCTAACTAAAGGAAACACCTATATTCAGTAGTTTTTCCTCTCTCCTAACTTCAATCCTAAACAGACAACTCATTACTCATCAATATAATTAGTCATAATTTCTATTTTTAATTTGTATTTATTTAATTTTAAGGTCTACCGGGCCTCAGTTATGGATGCAGCCCCATCCCTGAGGGGACACGGTGACTGACAGAATCTACAGTATCATATAATCCAAAGAGAGCCAGAAGGCCTGAAACAGACCAATGAAGCTATAATGAGCGCTGTACAGAGAATCCCTCACAAAATATACGTCAATTAGCGCGGATGGGGCAGATTTCCGACAGAAGTCTGGTCTTCTCTAATATAAATGAAAACCATTAAGCACCACGTGAAGTACTAAGAAGAGATAAGAGGTTACCTAAACTACGTCGGTGACCGATAGAAGCCAGTCTTTGTCGAACAAATGGGCAGAAAACTAAATAGGTTACAGACTCGAGGCCCCCACAGAAACAAGTCAAGAGGGTATTTTCATGAGGGAATCTATTGTAGTAGGCACGGAAGTCGCCGTGCCCGTCATCATTTCTAAGATAATACATAAAAGATCATCAGGTCACTTGACACTTTTTTAAAAAAGCAATGAGAATGATTATAATGCAGCTTCAAAACACAGGAGTAGTCTACTGAACATCAGCTTTGTCGAAGACAGTTCTATTCAATGAGGCATATGGCAGGCGTTCAAGTTCGGTCACATCTAGACAATTTTATTTTTAATTTTAAGGGCTCTTCTTTTCATGTTTGGAAGGCTTGGAGACTCAGCTATCATGGCAGTAGGCTCTGGCTTCCGTAACGAATCAATGTAATCCAGTGCAGGCGTGCTTCTACTACCTATCAAACAGACGTAAAGTAATACAAAGGCTGGCTCTCTTGGCAAGGGTCTATGTATGTCTATTTGCATGTGTGTGTATTTATTATGCTACTTGAGTCTATGACTATCTGGCACATTGGTTGGATGAGCTTGGTGATGAAGACGATAGAGATCGCGAAAGTGGTTAGAAATTCTCATATAAGAGAGGGCGATACTCCTCAGAACCGGCTCTGTAGACTCTATAGCGAGAGCTTGAGGCTCGAAGGGGACACCACTGACAGGCGTTTAGTTTCGTCCCCCTCGGCAAGGGTCTAGACGACGGAGGAATTCAAAGAACTCTAGCTTCTCTACGATACGATTTCGACGAATCAGCTACTTAAGCTAGAAACATAATACTTTGTGCTCTCACGGCTCTTCTCATCAGTGCCTAAGTTAGTTTATGAGGATCCAAACTACTGGGTAGGTCGGGACTACTTGCAAGCTAAATCGTGTGCTACTCCAGTCGACCTCAAGCTGTACCAAGGTTTACGCAGAAATTCCCAACACAGTCTCTATCGTCCAAGTCGTGCTTTGTCAATCAATTGGATTTGGGAATACCTAATTTAATTCTATAGAATTCTAATGTTAGGAGTCTTTCAGATTATTTGGCGAAGTCAGGAATGACTGATTTGGCACCTTGGTAAAATGAGGCGAGTCAAAGGTATGTTCGCAAAGATCGCTGGGCTCACGTTGAATAGACCTGGTATCTACCAGTTTGACAATAAAAATAATACGGGATCTGCATCTCATATACTTTTATTTCATTGAAGTATGTGCCCAAGATAACATTAAGCATACCCACTTACACCTTTCCCATATTATCTTACATGAATTACACCGCTACCTGAAGTGTTAAGCCTATTCCAAACTTCCCTAACGCCATAGTCCTAGTGCAGAGACACTTTATGTGCTCATCTCTTCATTATCTAAGCCAAGAACCCTTGCATACTGCACTGTCAGCCTTTGCAGATCTCGAAAGCGCCCTAAACATAAGTTAGTTCCCTGAAATCTCGTGACTAATATTCTCTTCTTACCAAGTATTAATACAACTTCTTTGAGGATTTCTTTTCGATCCCAACCACATAAGAGACCGTCTTCGCTCATCCAACCACGTCCCTGGTCATAATTACCTATTACAGGTGTCTCCTGTAACATACCTCCCATGATTGTACGCAACAATTCCTCAATCTTATTCTTGAGCCCTTCTGCGCCAAGACGCTTTGCATACATGAAAAGATATATCCTAAACTCATCCTTGGCGTTCAATTGGAGAGTTGCGGCAACGCGATTTTCTAAATGAGCAATACTTACTCCAGATTCAAACCCTTCAAACCCTTCTTTCGCGAGCAGCGACTTTATTAGTCTTTGTAAGTTATAAGCTCGGCCCTTGAGCAAGACTTCACTGGTAGTGTGCCGCTCTAAATGTGGGATAATTCCCGCTGAAATTTTAGAGGAATTTACTTCGCCGTTGAGGCGAGACTCTGGCCCGACCGCCTTAGAGCTAAGACTGCTAATCGATGAATCATTGGTGTTCCAGTACTGACTGCCAACTGCCCACCAAGCTTCTGATAATTTTTGCCAGACATAGAGCGTTGGGGAATAAAGGAACCCGTCGCCGTTACTTAGGGTGACAATAATGTTACCGTTCGAGTTCAAATGGGCCGAAGTCACCCCAGGTGCACTTGTCGTATGAGTTCCCAGCGTGTGCATTGCAATCTCAAGGATAGGAGCGAGAGAAATGGGAGGGTGTGGTGAAGAAACTGTTTTCAGATTCCATACATAGCACATTCCTACAGCTGTAATCGCGAGTAACCAGTAGCCGCGACATTCCAATATAACTGGCTGAGCCTCTAAAATTAGACCATTTAAAATCCTCCTACCAGCGGGAGTCCAAGTATACACACTACCGTCTTCACAAGCTGCCGCCCAAAAAAATTTGTTCCCGGTAACGATAACAATAGCTCTTGGTAAGAAGTCCTGCCAAAGTAAAGTCCCTCTTTTGGTAGCTGTGATGCGGGACGGATCCCTTACTTGGCTGGGCATTGTCGCCGGGTTTTGGGCCTCAAATATGATGTCCTCACTGACTTTTGCTGACTCGTCTATACCGCTTGCGCCATTGGTTCCATTTTCACTTGATTTTGATGGAGGCATAGTACCCCGATCTAGAGATCGAAGGATATGACTTCTAATTTTAGGTACGGCTAGGCGAGTTTGACTGACAGAAAGCACTGGATTGATAACTGCCGGTCGAATAAATTCAGGTGTTACTTCAATACCAGTGATTGGTGGCACTGGGACAGCTGGCTCTGCACCATTGACTCCATTGGTTAATATTGCTACCGGCCCAGATGATAGGGTCGGTTGTTTACTAATAAGTTCTTCCTCTTCTTGATCCTCAAGGGTTACAGCTTTTCGTTTATTACCTAATAATAAGGCTGCCAACCCACCTCTTGGAAGACCATCATATGGTTTCGAGAGATCTAGAATGGATCTAGGGTTATCGTCTTGAGAGTTTTTCAGGTTTGCTGCCATAAGTTGAGACTGAGGTAGAGATGAGAGACCAGTCCCCGAGGAAGATACAAGCAGTGGTGCTACTCTTTTCTTACCCTCTTTCGTTATAGTGACTCTCTGCTTCATGGCTTCCAATTTTGCAGCGTTTGGATCTTGAGTTGTTGGTCCAGCAACCTCTTTAGGGGCAGTGCCATTAACTGAGGTAGGGGCGTTAGATATCAAGCCAGTCATTGGTGTATTTGTTTCATTGTTGTTATTTAAAGCTGATGAGGAGGCCGAGCTAGCGTCGCCCATTAGAGCTCCCATCCTACCTTCCGCACCTTTTAGCTCACCTGCTTTGCTTTTTTCTTCAAGGCGGAGACCTGCTACATCTTCAACAACTCCAACGCCCCGTCGCCCGACACCGAACTTCTGTAGAGCTTTGTCGTTTTCTGTCCAAGGCGCAATAAATCCCAATTCACCTTTTTCGAATTCTAGAGCAACTATACTCCCATCCAAGCTAGATGCAAATATTGTAAGTCCATCTGGAGTCCATGCGAGGTCTGAGATTGATTTTCCCGCTAGATCCTGACATACTATTACTGGTCGTGAAGAGCTAGTGTTCCAGATACTCAATGTTTTATCCTGGCCGGCGCATGCAATTACTGTTACCAGAGCTTGAGTACTGTAACCACTGTTATCTGTAGTCTCAGAGCTTATTTCATGCTTACTAAAGAGACGGGGAGAAAATGTGCAGACTTCAGTCGGGCCCTCGTGTCCTATTAAATTTATATCGCTATCCCATTGACCACGATTTATTATTGCAACTGAGCTAACTGGTCCATTGACAGCATTGGCCGCCGCTATATGGTTTCCATCTGGCGACCAAGAACATCTTCGAAAATATGTTGTTAAAGGCGAAGAGATGAAAGGTGCAACAATAGTGTGCTCGAGTATAAAGTTATTAAGAGAGTCGTAAGCTGTAGCGCCAGGCGTAGGTGGAGTAAATCTAAAAATTTTGATACTCCTATCATCACTAGCAGTAGCAAAATACTTGTTGGCCGGATCAAATGATATTCCTTTAACATGAGATTGATGTATTGAGATGGTTTTGAGCTTCTCAAAGGTAGACCCAGACCAAACAACAATCTTTGAGTCTAGACCTACAGAAACTAGAATTGACGAATCGTAGGACCAGCCCAAATCCTGTACGTCATTTTCGTGACCTATCAAGCGCTTCGTTATCTTCCAGTTCTCAGCCGGGGGGGGCTCATTCGTTCCTTTGTCTTTAGGTTAGAACATTTAATCGGTCAAAATTAGTTAGCTTAACACACCAAGTGTCGCGGAATGAGCAGGAGGATTGGCTTCGAGGTGATAGATGCATATGATCTTATCATCAGCGCCAGATGCTAGCCATCGCTCATTCGGGGAGAATCGGACGGTGTGAATAGTCCCAGAGTGGTAGCTCATGTGGCATAGTTGTTTTGGCTTGAAGAATTCTGGATCACCAGCCTGTAGGATTGCTTCAATTGACCATATCCGAACGTGACCATCTACTCAGTCTTGAGATACATATACATTCATCCTAAAGGGGACATTCCATACCTCCAGCAGCGGTAGCAAGACGGCTTCCATCAGGTGAGACATGACAGCTATACACTTCAAAATCTTTTTGTTCCCCTATATGATAAGGCGCATTTGCGCACAACCATTAGCATTGAGAGGTGTGAGCTCAAGGTCCACCAAGCTTGATCAGGAAAAATGTATTCTGATTGATCGGGTACTACTCACCACTGTGGGTAAGCCAGGCAGGTTTAATGAACTTCATGATCGTCGCTAAGGGACTCGGGTGTGCATGATTTCAAAGTTGGGTTTCCTGCATTCAGGCCACGAGAATACGCGGTCGTTGTACTGGGCGCGCCGATAAACGGAAAGCCTGACCCATTGATAGAGTTCGCGGCAATGTACTAATTGTTCCTCAGCATTCTTCTCAAACTCAGGTGGCTTTATGGTGTAGTGGTAAGCCGTTAATTTAGAGGTTAAATAGCTAATATGATACAATAAGGAACCTTGATCGTGATGGGAGCTAAGTCCATCACTTCAATCTTTGCTTAAAGCTTTTTATCCTTTATTTAATCTGCCAGTTATTTGTCTTTGGTATTCAAATTTTCGAAAATAAAAGAAAATAAAAGAAAATAAAACCCCTTAATGCCTGTTGGCATTTAATCTTCGGAGTCGAGGTCTATTTTTTAAAAACTCCATATTTTTTATTCTAATCTGGTGCCTTGTAGGCCGATGTAAGTGTCAATGGCCTTTAATATTCCCAAGGGAGGAAATTTTTTGATAAAAAATCAAAAAACTTTCTGTTAATTATCCTAATTATTCCTGCTTGTACTTCATGAAACGCATGTACGCTATACTGCCATTCATGTAAGCCTACCATATCCTTTCTATTGAACCCCAGAATCGCTCGGCTAGTTTCTTTCCCGCAGCAACATTTCAGCTGCTTTTATCCCCTTAAATTACTTTATGCAACCATGATTTAGGATCCACTGTGTAATTCTTTTCATGTCGCCTGAGTCATCTGTCATAGCTTTGTAGGGCAGATCAGTGGCTTGTCTCTAACCCCCCCTACCATTTGACCATTGAGGACAAGACTTAGTCAACATCTGTAACGGGATTTAGGCATCTTTAGTCGGCTGGATTGATCCACGGGCCCAGCTTTGCACATAGCTGGGATTCGGCAAATGGGACTGCCATTTGCACAAGGCAAGACGCTAAGTAAGTGCTAATGTAAGGGGTTCATCTGGACGCACCTTAGGTTGGTACACTACTACTTAAGCGATGCCTCATGAAAAAAATTACCTTGAGGCATTACAAGGGTTCGGCATTGTGTAATCGGTAGCCACATAGAAAGTTTTGGCTGTAGACTCCTGTTACTTTTCTTCCATATAAATATAATTCCAGTCCAATTTGCTCGCCTCTAATTAACATTGCTAGACTACTCTATGCCCTTGTCAGTTTACGGCAAAGACAAACTGGCGACTCCTGGAGACTTATTCTCCACCGTTCCAACTGTCGTCTTCTTATTTCAAGTCATCTATTGCGTATTCAGCTATCTAGATATGACACATGATCTGAATTATGATTACACGTTGGATGACTCTTTTAACGTTAGAGACACTCATACTCTGGATTTCATTTGCAAATAACACTATGAGGTATGTTTGCTCACAAAAACACTCGACCCTCCTCTGTAAGTACCCACCAAAGGGAAGTTCAAAACCTTTGATTATCCAAGCATACCTTCATCATCCATGTAAACTTGCACAGCGAGAAATGTGGTTGTGTTTTGCCGGATTCGAACCAGTAATCTACTGTCTCGAGTACGATATATATCCAAGCAATCCATAATCTACTTGTGAGAACGGCTCGAATGGTGTACCACTGCACTATCCAACCCTTATACGTTTGTTGGTCAGTTAATTGGGTTGGCATTATCGAACTGCTTAAGTCTATGACTATCCAACACATCTGGCTCCCCTCTGAACCAAACCACACCTTGTAAAGTGCTTCTTGCCTCAAACCTCACATAGCAATCACATCTTCTATTATTACGAAAAAATATATCTTAATTACTACAGCTGATTGGTAGCCATTTAGCTTATTATTTACCTGCAGAATTTAGTCTTCTACGGAACTTTATTCCAATTAAAGGTAACAATTTAAACTGCGAACGCGGGGAACAAACTATAAAATACTATCGCCTCAGCCACAAGTGTTCTAGAAAAAGATGTAAATTTGATTGTACAAAAAATTAAGCCTAGGTATAGTAGTTGTGCGGGGTGCATATATCCATCTATATCTATTTTCTTGTAATAAGAAGCCAACCTAATCCAGTCCACCGTCGATGTATCGAGAGCTGGGTACTCTCCGGAAACTCACCGGATGGGTTTTCCTCCATGATCAAGTGTGAATGATTTAAAGGGCTTCGACCCTACTATCTGATGTGATTGTGGTTAGCTTCGTACTAATGGTCCTAACAAGATATGCTGAGTATTTTTGTTTATTATGCTACTTTAGTATATGACTATCTGGCACATTGGGTAGACGAGCTGACTGTAGATGAAACAGACCGTGAAATCATTCGGAAATCTACATCAAAGTGAGGACAAAGGTATGACTTAATCTTAGCCCTGTAGAATCTACAGTGAGAATTAAAGGTTTATATTGTACACCAGTGATAAGTGTCTTTATATTCCCCCTTAGTTTAAGGTTGGGTATGACGGTATATGACAAATGCCCTTTGATCTAGGAGAGCTTGATCTACTTCTCCCTGCTAAAGCTCTTGGGATGATCTTTGTGGTTACAGAATTATGTCTGAGTTGAAGTCAACTTTATTTTTGACCATAATAAGCCCTCCTCCATTTCTTGGACGTTGGTGAATGTGGGCGCTATCAGGTTGAATTAGCATCTTTAAAAGAATCGATTTCAGATATCCTAGCACTCACGCGGCAAAAGAGCTTGCTATGTGTTACGCCTAGTCACTGGGGCGGCGGGATCCTATGGATGAGAAATAGTCGTCGATCGGCTTCATGATTGAAGCTCCTAGATTATATTTGTGACAGTGGGGCCAGAGGCCATTGCCCACTGCGGCTTCGTGAAGATCGAAAAAGCTGTGCGCACCGAACAATGCTCGTTTCATCCTTGTCCCGCCCTCACCCCCCTTTTTATTTCCTTCTCTGCGGTCCTCCTGGGCGCGGGGCGTTCATGCCTGGAAGTCTTGTTGAAGATCTGGCGAGTCATGGGAATCGTACTACAGGAAGGCGGGGGCAGAGGGAGAGAGACCGGATCGTAAGGAATGAAGCGTTTATCACGCCTTGGACAATGAGATGACGGGCCGTGGGCCTATATTTTTGCCTCGTTTGCACAGAATGGTCGGGCTGGAAGGGCAAGGCGACAGCGACCGTTGAATGTTGGCATGAGCTCTGACTGACAGGAGGAAAAACTGCAGGCGGCCATGACGCTGAGGAGGCTGTGGCGCAGAAAATGGAGAGTGGCGGAAAGGAATAGGCAATGACGTCGCTAGCCTTGAAAGGGTCTCGAGACTCGCTCGACGTTGTCACTCGGATCCAGCTAGCCGAGCGAGAGTCTATGGAGTCAAAGGCAACGTCGCGGGCACGTGCAGGTCAAGCTGATATAAGGTTTATGATGATTGTAGTTACTGGATATGGAGAGGGTATGCAAGTGCCTACCCGATACGATGGTGGGAGACGAGGGGAGGCATGTCCGGTTTGGGGTCCTATGCCCGTCGCATATCAGTCTCTAGTCGAGCTTGCAGCTGCAAACCATTGTCCCTAGAGCCACCTTAACCCACTAATGTAGAGTTCAGTATATTTTCTCTCTTAAGAACGATAGCTTTGGTAACTAGCATTCCGTACTGGAGGTAATTGGCGTCAGGCTGAGTTTATAAAAGCTCGACCCTCCTGGTAGATCGACAGAGGACATTTCCTACCGGGATAAACGATTCCTATATTAATCTGCCTGCCAAACCTGCCGACAATGCATCATCATCGCATCGTATAGAGAGATGAGGGATCATAGCAATGGCAGGCTGCATAGAATGCAAGCGTTTGTTCTATTCAATTAGAACTATTGTAGATGTACGATTGTATGTGGGAACGACCATAACAACCCGAGAATAATAGTATCTCTCTCAGGGGATGTAGTTAAAGGCTCCCGATCGAATTAGATTTGGCTGCTTATATGTCACAAACAAAATATTTATGTATGAGCCCTGGACTGGAGGAATGGTGGAGGGAATAGTTGTTACTATCGAAATAGCCGTCACCACCACCACAATAATAGTGACGATGCATCCATGGGAGTTGAACTCCATACAGTCTCGATATCCAGCCTTGTCAAGGGAGGATAAAGGTGGCGAAAATGAGCCTTGACTTTTTTCAGCCTGGTCAGTCGATTCCACTACGCCTGCGCTCAAACCACGGAAACAGACGAAGGTCGGTTTGCGTCGAGGGGTGGCATCTTTGTTTGACAATTATTGATTTCATTCGACCCGGATGCATTCTATGAGTCTGATGAAGGTAATCAGTCCGCCTGCTCCGCACCGCAACAGAGAGCCTTCCTCGCTTGCTTTATTGCTTTTCTCTTGTGCATAATGCATATGATCGGCATATGGGATTTATACAAGTCTTACCTTCGTTATCCTAGTACCCTTGCGACCACACACATAAAACTCCCCCATCGTTCATCCCTTCACTCTTCCATGCAGACAATCCGACAGTCTTTCAATTCCTAAGTCATTAGAGCAATCAGTCATATACCATTTATCTCTCTATCAATAATCAATACTTTAACTATGTGATTCCGTTACACCTGGTCAAAGAAAAGTAACTATAGTATCATATTCATCCTTCTCTGTTCTTTTCAACTAAGTCGCCAGGACTGCTCATTCGGACTGCTCATTCAAACTTCTCTCACGCCATTCTGATAGAGTCTGATCTTTAATCAAAATTACCAAATCCGCCCATCAAAATTCATCGCAACTTTTTTTAGTCGCCCATAATTGATCTAAGTAGAGTGTTGGATTTATCCGCTTTGGCTGGGCTCAACCTGCTGCGCCTTGCCATGTACACTTAACAACTGGATCCTATTGCTCTTGTGATGCATGGCTTCGTGTTGGCAATACCTTCGCCCTTCGGTGCCAAGGTAACGCTTCCCCGATCCCTTTCCTCGCCAACGCTTCCAGACCTCTCCAAGTCTCAAGATATTTCGCAACCATTCTCCAGATCTCCAGATGACCTCCCTCGATCTGCAAGTTATACGTCTCTGCCCAACTTTGATGGCGAATATAAAGTTGAGGTTGAACACGATACGATCAATTCTTCTCAAGTGTCCGAGTTGTCACAACAGCCTCCGCAACCAACTCTACCAGAAAAAACAATATCATCCAAAGAACCGAAACCGAGCTCCAAAAGACAGTCGCTGGTTGCTGGGCCCAAGGCTTGGATGCAAAGAGTAAAGGGCACATCGGAACGGCACATGAGAACTTCCATCGTTAGTACGACACCAAGTAGCTCATCATCTACGGCTCCAAGTACGAAGTCTAGCCGAGAAAGTGTACCGCGAACGGTTTCTGACTCCTTGTCAACTTTTTCCCGAAAGCCATGGAGCCTTGCATCTTCGAAATCTTCATCATCCAGGACAAGAAAGGCGAAAGATGACGTGTCTCTCAAAAGTTCTCGTTCAAGAGAACAAACATTACCGAAATCGTCTGATAGCAACGCAAGCATCTTCACTAAAGCTTCTAATGATACCGTATCAACTGATTCTCCAATTAAGTTACCAAAGAAGTCGATACAAAAAACCATAGATAGACCGTCCAGTGCTTTCCTGGGCTTAGCAGCATTTAATTCAACTAACTCATCCACAAGTAGTCTTCCAAGAAGCTCTCTCGATAACCGCTCGACACCTCGAACATCTACCGATAAGATACCCCCTCCGCGAATTAATTCTCCAATCGAAGGACTGACGTCTACCGGGAGCGAATGTCCTCGAAAACGAGACGAACTGTGGTCAGCCTTTCGCTCTCTCGATAATGACTATTCTAAGTTCCAAGCCAAGAGCTGGTCCCTGAAGACCAACATTGTACGATCTTCTTTACTTCCATTCTTACGGTCTCATCCTGAATCTTCGCCCATTGGGACCCTCAGGCCCGATGACCTCGAGCGAAGGGTAGCTACACTGAACAAATGGTGGATTGGACTACTAGAGGTACTTGATGGGAGACAAAACCAAACTGTCAGCGGGGTGGATAGACCAGTGTTACTCGAAGCCTGCTTTGAAATAATGGTTAGACCCGAATGGAGGCCATCCATATCCACAACATTAGTTGATAAATCATGTCCCAAACCTCATCGACGACTCCTAATGCCCAAAAGATCTTCGGCATCGCTCATGTCAACTGCAATGTCCCCATTTATGATTGAATCCGTTTACCAAAATACCGTCAATACCTTCATCCAGAATCTCACTACACAAATTAATTTTGTCGTAAACAAAATGTCTCTGCGACATGCTCCAGCAAGTCTTGTTAACTTTTGCGGCAAAGCTATCGCCTATGCATTCTTTTTTGTCCCGGGTATGGCCGGAATATTAGTTCGCTTGTGGAAACTGCAACCTGACGTACTTCGGAGGGTATCAGATGAATTAGGCCTGCCTCGAATGGCGAGTAAGGCTGATGTTGATGAAATTGTAAATACATTTCCCTCACATCTACAATGTCTTGGATGGCAATCAGTAAAGGCCATGTCGGCATTTATCCGAAAGTCTTCAGATTCACCTCTTATGACGAAAGGTATACCCTGGTATGGTCCTTGGGTCGCCCGATGGTCAGGAAGAGATAGTGATCTATTCTTTATCTTCGTAAAGCACTTTCACATACTAATGGAAGAATTTATCCCTTCTGACTTGTCATTGCGGGAAAAAGCACGAGCGCCTGGTATGAATCAGATTCAAATTTAACAAACTCTGCTAATTAAGTAGGATACTTGCTAATACAAGCACAAACGTTAACTGCAATCGATGCAACAATTCACCGACAGCCCGCTGCCGACCCCCTACCCATAACATTTGATGATGTACTAGCTGGTGCCGATGCTTCTGCGGCTGCTGCCTTACCGCTACCGTCCAGTAACTCAGCAAGATTAATGGCCGAGAACCGTTTAATAATGCTACTTCGTGACTTTCTATGCGAAAAGCTCTCTAAAAATGTCAGAGCTCGCTTGAGTTTTGGTGAAGTATTTGGGAAAATGATGCAAGCTGGAGCCAGAAGAACATCATTGTTTGATCACAATGCATGTTTTGTCTTATGTGACTTCATGGAAGAGGCATTGACAATATTTGCCCGATCGCACCAGGCTCATACTTTTATTGACTGGAAATTTTGGCTAGATGTTTGCCAAAAAATGCTGGAGAGTGAAAATTCTATGTCTGAAATCAGACTATTTTCTTTTTTGTACAGCGTATGGAATATTCTAACCACTGATGAGCGACGGAAAGAAGTAATTTGCATTGATTGGCTCTTAACATCTCGGGTATTCGACAAGTACTTTAATCATTGGTGCCCTATGATTCGAGCCTACTACATGAGGCTGCTCTGCTGGAGAGTCTGTCGTAATGACGGCGACTCTAGCGATCTTGATGCGTTGGTACCCCAATCCCAGCTCTCACTCAATGCTAAAATTTTCAGGAAAATTTTTCACACCGTATTGATTCGGCTGAGGTCACACTGGGCACATTATCTTTATATGAAGGAGAAGTCAGAAGAGAATAATACATTGTTGCCATCAACGGCACCATGTTATCCAGCCCCTGGACGACGCCTTCTTATTATTCGAAACGATAATCAATCTGCGGCTACCCCGCTTTTCCTTGGCTTCGATGACCTCTTCGCGCAAGGTTCTTGTCGAAAATCTAATAGTACATCGGGCCACAAACGAAATTCTTCCACTCTGAATTCCTCGACATCTGACGTCCACCTTCAAATACCCTCCCAATCAAATATTTCTGACCCTAAAACTGCGGAAAACTCAACGACAACTCCGTTTAAGAAACGCTGGTTTGAAATAAGCAAAAATATCTCTCGTTTCTTCCCATCTCGCGCTGGAACGCCGCCTGCAAGCGTTACCGACAACCCGACTGTCTTTAGGTCATTTTCTGTTAGATCATCTAGTTTTCACGTAACTGAAGGAACTTCCCATCCACCAGCAGAAACATCGAATAACGACAAATCCGAGTCTTCTACCCTTGCTTTACAGGATGATACATTTCTACAGAGAGACTTCAAAGACCGGGACGCATCAGAGTCATTTCCCGCAATGCATCGAGCGTTTTCGTTTAAATTTAGTTTGGAGTGGGCTGCTCAGATTGACCCGAATATAGGGGAGAATGAGAACTCTAGTGGAAACTCCGTTCCTAATGGGACACCTGCCGTAAATCCAGCTGCAGTAAATCGGCCGGGACTAGGACCGGGAGAGCGGAAGCTTTCTCCACCTCGACTACCTGCGCCTGCACAAGCTTGGCTTGGACTAAAGATACCTGGTGCAAGTCAAGAGGTGACCGCACGAGATTGGTTTGAGCCTAGTCGGGATGATTTTCATCATCCAGAGAATTTAATTACAAAATATCCGATAGATAATGAAATTCTACCCAAAAGAACCGTCACTATGACTGTTCCTGAAATTGAAGAGTCAACGTCAAGATTTTCAACCATATTTCAAGACTCAGGTACCAAAACAGCCATTTACAAAGGCCGTGCACTAGCTGAGTGGGCATTAGTCGTGGGAGAGTGCAATAGTTTTCTAGAAAGGAGGCGCAGCGAGGGTGTGCCATCTCTGAGATGGGTCGAGGTTCCGACACTTGGAGTAGAGGGATTTAGACGTTTTGGTCAATAATAATGAGTGGTTCTTGAGCACAAGAATAATTTTATTGTCGGACCAGTTGATTGGGCTGTCTGGGGGTTACTTCGACCATGAAATACCTACGGGTAAAAAGAGCTTGTTCAAGTAGGCTCAGAGTATTAAGCGGTGAATCGTCACAAGTTCACTTTTAAAAATTGTGAAAGTCTCCTATGTTTGTATATAATCAGGTAACGATAGGTCCGTCTGGGAATTGGTGCTTGGAGCGTGGGCTTGTGCTTGTAATGGGGAGTGGGATCAGGGTCTAGAATGGCACGTTGATCTGGGGTAGGTTAATCGGATGAATTTGGTGAAACTTATTCAGCTTGCATTCGGAGAGCTTGATGAGTTAACTCAATATTTGCAAGCGGCAGCGTTATTTTTATTAGAAATAAACACGCGAAATATTTTACAGCAAGATGATTAGTGCGTAATTGAAGTTTCTGACAAAAAGACTCTCAATATTCCACTTTTCTACTCGAGCTCAACTCAAACTAAAAATTTGATTTATCGTATCTTGGTTTGTTTGTGATTGCATCCGATAAATGACACCAACCACGCACTTATTGAAGCTTTAGCGACTACACGGGTAGGCTGGATGACAGTAACTGCCGTCAAAGACTAAAATGTGCCTCGTCGTGCCTTTGTATGTTACGAAGCGTCTATTATGAAATTAACTCATGATGCTCGTGACTTCCCAAGGTCTGATATTTAGCCTATTGACTGAACCTTGTCATTCTAGAATCTCGAAGACAAATTGTCGAAAATGACGCAAGCGTCTCTTATTCTACTTAGCCCGAGATATATGAGATTAGCCTAAATCTTTATGTCCGCAATCCCATTTCATCGCTAGGGCTTGGTAATGGAGATCGTCCAGGGAGTGAACTGTTTCAATGTCACGGACCTCGGCTTTGGTGATCAATCTCTGATGGCAAGATTCTTCAAGCTCATTTTATCGTGGAGCAAAAGTGTCTTATAATGATATGATTTCGCAACAAAAAACCGTTAGGCTTGCGTTATCCTTTGTAAATATTCAATCGAACCCGTGCTCAGGGAGTCATTTGTGCTAGGTCTAGTTACTTAGACGAAAAAGGCATGTGAAGTTCATCTTTTGCCAGCGAACGAACAAGCATGACGATTATTCAGCACCCAAGGCGCGACGAAGGATGACCACAGTTTCATTGTGTCAAGGGTCCTGTTGTGTAGGTCACGGAATACCCATGACGTATTAGTGGAAATTTGCGGCAGCTAAACTTGTCCTTGTCGCATAACGATCGACGTTTGTCGCCTAGGGAAGCCTAGGACCATTCTTGATCGTCCCACTAGGCACTCGGAGAGAATGATGTGCCTAGCACGCACCAGATCAGGCCAAATAGCTTGAATTGTTTAAGATCGAATTCCACCCGCTTGAAACTGAACTTTGTAGCCTCGACCTGACTATTTCATTCCTACTCATTACAGTCAGGAAAATTCACTAGATCCGCAGTTCAAAGGAAAGTCGCAATAGAATGATGTAACTATGCCACGACCATAGGGAATGACAACGCAACACATCCGCTAGACCTACCTATAAGTATCGAGTCTGACAAGACTTGAAACTTTAGCTTGCGGTTGATCTTTTATGCCTGGCGCTTACTATGATGTGTTGCTGAAGTTTGCTGAGCAAATCCGTCTCTTACCCCGCTAACCCATCTTTACTGATAGATCTTGATAGATTCTGCTTGACTTATGTCAGACCCACAATATTGCACTTACACCTTACCCGTACGAAAATGACATAATATTCGGTTCACTTCAATTACCGCTTATATCTTTGCAAAAATAACCAACGATTTGACTTAGAACGATATCGGTATCAAAATCCTTCTCTAACTTACCGCTAGTGAGAGAAAAATATGCGCCAGAGGTTAATGCATCGTTGGCTTTGTCTTGGAATTTTGGGCCTGGATCTAGGTCTCGCACAGAAACTGCACCAATCAACATCGAGGTAGAGAATCTAGAGACTATTAAAGATTATACGAGAGTAGATTGGAATATACACTTTGTGGCTTCAATAAGAAGTCTAAAATCCTGATGTCGTTATTAGGAGTACCCCGCAACTAGTAGTTTTTGTGATCTTCCCCAGCTACCACACAACCGTAAATGGCCATCTTATCGTTGAATAGAAGGGGGAGATGATGAAGAGTAAAAGGCTCTAATTAAGTGCTCGAATGAGGGCTTGTGAGGGATGGCACTGATTGATCAGAGCTGTATAATCGACGTAAGAGGGGATACACTACTCGCTTAGGTATCCTTGGCCTGGAGGCAAAGAGATCCTACACGTCCTATGAATTCATAGATTGATAAAAGACAATGAAACCAAGAAATAATAATACTGAGACAGATAAGGAGATTACACTGATTTAGGCGATACGGTAACTATGTGGGAGATTTTGTTAAAATTAGCGGGCTGTCGTACGTATCGGAAATCGATGGCAAATAGGTCTTTTATGCATCAATAGTTTAGCTCTTGATCACCGCCATATGAAACTACCTAACCAATTTCCCTTCAATCTCTATTAATAGCATTCTATGTAGAATTGTAACCAGTAGTACTTTCTCCTCAGTGGCGATATCACTAATATGCGTTTGTTATTGGCTATAGACGACTGTAATTTTATAACAGTATTGTTATATTATCTGGGCTATATAGGAGCAGGACGATGGATACTCTTGGGGAAGTTATGCTCACAGTAGGTCTCTATAATCGCTGTCGCGTGTGTTCTCGTGATATGTAAGACTTGACTCTATATTCTCGTATAAAGGAAACATGGTTACAACAATTGGATGGTGGTTAAGACCTCTTTATATCTTGCTCCAGACTTACTATGTTATTCACAGCCTAGTGCTAAAACATTCCCTTATGATATCATTTCTCTCCTACGTGAAATGACCAGCTCGTTCTCTCTCAGTCTATCAGTCTCTCGCTGATTCCATTATCTCTATTCCATCGAGTTCTAGTTTGGTCCAGTATACCCACACATGCATTACACACTTAACACCCCACGGTTTAGTTTCACAGTCACGTGCATATGCTATGACGCGACCTAAAGCATGTACCATGGTAAGTTACATGGATAACATAACAAGTATCCACTACACATGATGTAACTAATACAGTCACAATACTAGGTGCTATTGTTAAAGAAATATAATTTGAGATGTCTAAGAGACTTTATAGAGATAGATACCTTTCCGTGAGAAACTGGGCTGCTCTACCAGCACTACATTGTCCTACATAGCCGTGAGCTACTAAAGGACATTAACAGATTGTTTACATTAGCGACATACGGGATATTAATCTCAACGTATTGCACTCTCGTGGGCTAATTCTCCAGTTTAAGCAAATATTCAAATTGCAGGTAGCAGTTAGAGAATGCCACCCCCAGTGAACCACAAGTGAGGAACCCTCCATTTATGTTAGGAATACCTAAACTAGGATGTAACAGATATGATGTATCTAAATAGTTTGTCCCACATAGTTATAAACTCAAAAAGGATATGATTGGATTTATTATAGTAAAGAAATCCACGTAAGGCCATCAGAGCAAAAGTTTTCCCAAGTAAAGAATTGATCAACGTTGCGTGGTCCGCACCTTCAGGGCCTTGTTATGAGACTGTTACAAGCAGTTTTTAAGCCTGAGTAACACAGATAGCTTAAGAGAAGGGTGGTATCATGTGATGGAATCTTTCGTTATCTGGAAGGTAGGGATATCCAGATTATGCATATCTCCCAAATCTCTTAACATTGCCTTCATTTGCAAGGCACTAGCCATATCTTATTTATTTCAGTTTGCCTCAGTATCAATCAACATCGAATGGAGGGCAAGACTGAACACCTGTACGCGGTGTCCTCTCCGAACCTGGGAGTGAAATATTCTCCCAGAGCCAAGTTCAGTCAAATTTCGCAACATCAAAGAAGTTGGCCCACGAGGCAAAAATTCAAATTACTCCACCATATCAATCTTTCACTCCCAAAGAGTCCGATTCTCAACTAAGCTTCATCAAGTCTACAAGTACGACATAGTACATCCTCACCCCAATGATCACACCTCTAGTCGACTTTCTCTGGCCTTAGTTGACCGCCAAATACACGCCCACGCCGATATTTATACCCGACGGAGGAAGCAAAGTGTGGCGCACAAATCTGGGAGATAGTTCTTTGGGATGGACGTGAGAGGAATCAGGACAAGTTTACAAGATGATGAAGAAGAGGGATACGTTTTCGACGAGCGTGAAATTTCGAAATTTGGCAAGAGTTTTACGAATTAAGCTTTGTGCGCGCCAAGACTTCGCTTGCGAGAGTGCAGCTGACACTATAAAAACAAGCAGACGATGGAAAGTGTTGTGGTCCGCCTCCGGGTGGTGTTCTCTGGTATAGTTTGAGTAGCCTGGACACCTACTCCACTTGGGAAGGAGACATCTCAGATTATATTTCGCGCGGAGAAAAATTGATGGATGACGGAGGTATGTCTGGATAACTCAGGGTTTTTGAGATGTTCCCCTGGGTGGGTATTCACGGATGAGGGTTGACTTGGGGGTGAATAAAAAGCCACCATAACTTCGCAGTGGTACTTGCAAATGAAATCTGAGGCATGAGTACTCCTCTTGTAAATTGAGTCATCTTTTCTGTAATTTCCTTTGATATTGTGTCATAGCTAGATAGCTGGATACGCAATTAAAATCTGATGCTAAAAAAAATTAACATCGAATTATCATTCTGCGGCCCAGTTTCTGCTGTTGTGATGCCATTTCTCCTTAATTGGCATAGCTCGTGGTAAGCTTGTTCATACTTACAAGCGCACTATGTTCCTGGATCGTCATAGTCAGCTAGCTGAACAAAACTCATCCACCCTCGACGCCATCTTTCCTCTGATACGCCACTTCATAGCCCAAGAGAAATTTACTACTTTGTTAGTCCTCTTCTAAAGACTCGTCGGATCGCCATGATTTTTAGTTCAAGCCCTGCATCAGCCTGACGTTTTGAAGAAAATGAGACTCAGTGGTAAATACAAAGAAAATTGGTAATAAGTAATTTCGCTTTCAATCTAATATAAAATCGGAATTCAATAAAAAGGGAAAAATGCAAGGTAAGATCTCGACTAGAATGAATCCGATAATGTCTAACTATGAAATAGAGATATCCTTCTTCTTCCTACAAGATTGAGAAACTCGAAATAAAAATGTACCCGAGGATTTATACAAATTTTAGGTACCTTTTGTTTGGTGTTTATTGTATTACTTGAGTTTATGACTACTTAGCCTAGGCCACGTCATGTACAGTGCCCTTATTCTATTTGTTATTAAATTCTAGTACCTTACTCTCATATCAATAATAGGTACAGAGCCTATTCTGCTTATCACCACATAAGTTCTTGAGCTATTACATCCCCAAGTTTTGGTCATTGCCACAAAATATGTTTTAGATGCACTGAGAATTCGCATTAGTCGTATGTCATCTTTGCACAGCTCAAGGACCCTTCCTCTACTCAGTCGGGTTCTTGTCCTATCTCCCTTGTGTTCATCATTATAAAATCCAAGATATTGCTTTTCTTGATTAAATCTAGGTACTGAAATTGGGTATCCGATTTTGGGAAGGCTCTTGAAAGGCTCTCCTGATGACTAAATAATTCCGCAGCTTTCGAGGCTCACGGAAAATTTTCATGCCAAGAAATAGGTTATCGGAGAAGAGCCCGTCATCGCCAACGAATATGGCTGGCGTGCAATGTAAGACAGACTGGTGCTCGCCATCGGAGACAATTAGTGTTGGACTTTTACCTCAAAACAAGAAACAAAGGTTCCGGTCAAACGCTCTGATCCGCTAAGGTTCCATTCCCAGCGCGGGCCTAGCTCAATGCAGCCGTCTTGATGGGGTCTTGGATCGTTGCCGCGTAGGGTGCAGGAATTGCTCTCACAGCCTTAAAGTCTGGGCGAAGTCTGGGATCGGGTGTCACTAGAGGCCTATGGTGCGATAGACCTTAATCTCTTTATCGGTACCAGTCCCGATCCAATATCGTGATATGTCGGTGTATACAGTTTGATTTCCTGCACGGACCCGGAACCAACGCTATTTCGGGATGCCGGCGATAGGGCTGTCGGGCAACGAAAGTCAAACATGGAGAAAACGGCTCTCACATCCTAAAGGCTGAATTAATGTCACAGCGCAGTAAGCACTGACAATGCGCGGCCCTGCGGCAAGAATTTGGGCTAGAGAATTAGAATACAATATAATTTCATTTATATCCCTATTGAGTCAATGACTATGAAGGACAGCTAAAACTATCCGATTAGCTTTAAATTTGATGGTAAATTTGGATATTGATGTGGTTAATATTTGCCAACAGATGATGAGGGTCTGGGCTAGGGGAAGGATATCATCTTGGATATTGAAGGAATATCTCGAATGTGGTAGGTACCCAGTTGTTCGCTAATATATTATTTTCTTTTCCAAGTCCAAGACTCTATTGGACACTAGTGGAATATCCTCTCTTTAACCAGTAATTGTGCCTCAAATTCGCTTCCTACATTTAGTTGGATGGATCGAATCAATCATCAACTCGTATTCCGCCACAGTGCCTAATGACTCTGCTATTATGACGACAAAGAAGAATTCTTTACCTTCCAGTGTTACCGGAGTCTCCGCTCAAAATGCTCTGCACATTTGGAATAGCCAAAAAGACTCGCATCCGGATCGAAGTCGAAAGCAACCATAAGCACATCTATAGTCGGCGACTTCCCATCAATATCGGTCTCGTCATTCTCATGCGATGGCTCTAACTCTATCTTAACGTTCACTACCTCGCCTCAAATACCCATAAATGTACCACTCCAAATGAATACGGGAGCTTGCCTTAATAACTACTGGCCATCTCCCACTACCAATTTACCATGCTATGTGTTCCTGCAAGGAAGAAATAAGTCATAATATACTAAGCTCTGGTCTTGGTCTATGGAGGGACCGCTGCTTTTAGGCTGATTGGCCAGGTGAGCTTCTATTGTCGACGGGTCTCCAGCATTCTCCAGTACTCAAGACGGCACAACGAAGTTGGGCCAAGTTACTATACAGCAATCACGCTCTATCAAGACCATTCCGACATTTGAGTACGACTTTCGGGAAAGAGTTGGAAGGAGGCTTGATAAACAGAATGTGAATTTCCAGAGGTACCTGTTAGAAATTGTCAAGGATTTCTAGGAGAAAATATCTCGAAGACGAGTGTACAATTTCAGACAAGACTTTATTGATAGTTGTATAGGATATCGAACTCCTTCTCAATCTGGATTAATAAAACATAATATTCCGTTAATTTATATTTGCATATTCAAATAATACTATCATTCAATATAGATTTCCGTGGCTTTAGTGACCCCGACTTCCCAGTGATCATGTAGCAACCAGCCACTCAATTATCGTAAGGTAGCATTTCCCAGCCAGTGCATTTTGGATGCTTCTGAACCTAATGTCGCCCAGCCAAGCTTACTCATACACAATCGAATCAATCTAATTGATCTTGAAGGTCATAGCTAGAAATCTAAACCTTTTTACATTCTGAGTCTTGATTCCCAACAGTACCTACAAGTCTGCAGCGCACGGCTGGCCGGCTTTTTTGAACGCTTTAGAAGGGCCACTATATCTTCGGGTTTAGTCCAAATTTCGGTATTAGAAGAGCCCCGCACCCAGTGGTTTTTGGAAATTTCCTCGCTACCATACAATCGTAATTGGCAATTGTTTTATTAGCTGTAGAAGGGAAATAATGAAGGATAGAAGGCTTCTAAAAGTTTATAATCAATTTAGGAATTTTCAGGACAGCTGCATGGGAGGTAAATAAGGAAGTATACTACTAAATAGGGTTTCCTGGCCTACAGGTAGACAGGACTCGCAAGTCCTTAATAGTCACAGACTGAGAAAGGACAAGAATACAATTCAAAAATTTCTGCCATAATTTATCACAACCCATCCGTTAATTGCACATATGGTAAATTTTAAAGAATCAGTGTGCAAGGAAGGTGACGTGGAACAGAGGACAATACGGACTTTTTGCCTTCACACTTCGTCATTTTCACACTCTATCCACCAATGAGACAACCCACATTAGACATCCCCATCGCCATGATCACCATCATTTAAGTTAGATGGCATGGTGCGTTATTCTCTCCATCTCACCTTCTTTCTGTTAGATGCCAAGCAAGGCAGGTCTGTCTAAAGTTGAAAGATAGAATAGATTGACTGTGACAGCCGTCGCATGGCCTCTGATCTTTTGTAACGAGCCCGATCAACGTTAAAGTCTAGTCACATCACTTTTCTGCCCATCAAGTAGTAAACAAACAAAATTTTATCTGGACGCACATCTTTGATTTCCCAGGCTTATTCTCAGTAATAACGGGATTTAGACGGAGATATCGAGGATTCAACTATCTGTTATTCTATGAAAGACGCCATTGGTCTTGCTGGACCCAATTTTTTCTGAAAGAATTTTATTCCCCTTTAGGCTTGTGTAGCCAGTATCATCAAAGACGAGATGCTCACAGTCTCAATGCACGATATTGCCTTTCATACTTTGACCTTCAGTATGAGCCTGTAAGTAACATATCTCAAGTCTTTTTTTGACCAAATCTTGGACACCCAGTCTCCTCTTTCACTCTCAACTAGGCGGTATTCCTCAAGTCAACGCTTTTAATGCCTGCACCTACATCTAAATTCTTCAAATTCTCTCATCTACCGCCCGAAATTCGCCGGCATATCTTCTCACTAGCACTGCCTGAACAATACATGGTTCCCTTAAAGCTGCACTTCTCGATAGAAACGGGCTTCACTGTCACCTTTGATCACGGGGCACCATTTGACTTTGCATCAGGACTGTCGCCGATCATTAAGCCACTCACAATAGCTGGTCTCTCGCAAACTTGCTATGAGCTCCGCGCTGTATATCTTGCAGCCTACCCAGACCAGATACATTTGCGAAACGGCGGTCTGATCCACCTCGATTTTGCTTCGAGCATCATTTACCTACGCCAATTATCCGAGCTCGTCTCGGACCCGCTCGCAAGCCCCTTCTTCCTCAACCCAACGGGTTTTCACGCCGCCATTTTTGCTCATCTTAATGCCACGCCTTTTCCAGTATGGTTCGCGCGTCTGTCAAATCTCGCTCTCTCTATCGATTGTATCATTGAGTATCCCGAGGCCTCGCCTATTGTCTCACGACCCAATAGTAGCGTCATCGAGCAAGCTCTTTTTCCAAAAATGCTGCGCCCCTTCCGCGCCTTGCGTCACATTTGGGCACTCGCCGACGATTATTGGCGCCTAGACATTTACTTTACGCGTACTGGAAATTTTCAGCCCTATCCAGGCGAAGAAAACATCTCGGTTCTTGGCAAGCTAGCCGAGCGGGTAGAACAGCTAGAATTATGGGCTAAGTATCAGCGGGCTATGATGCAGCGATCGAATGGTCCCAACACGCTCCGTCCACTCTATGAGCCGCCTACAATGGCAATCTGGGGCAACGAGGATATTGATCTCTGGGATTATCTCCTTGAGCCAATCAACCAACTGATACCTGATATGGAGCCCCGTAGTATCCTGGAAGCAATCAAGCAAGCACCTGTATTCTCGCATTCCAACGATGTGATGAGCCAGTAAAATACAATCGATTATCCGCCTCGGCTTACAAGTCTGACCATGGCCTTTTTTTACGAGACTGCAGATTTCGCTAGTCAAGCTAACTGATCACGGGCCTAGTATGTTCGGGGCAGTCATAATTATCTCTCGTCCTGGTTGAGCTTAGGCATGCAGCCCTCAAGGATGATACCCTTCGAAATTGCACTGTCTCGTGCATGAGCATAGCTTAAGTAGAAAGCACGTTGGATGGAGTGTTCATTCGGAGAAAGCTTAACTCTCTCAATCACCATCTTCCTCATCAGCACCACGACTGGCGTGGAGCGAGATATGTAATTACGCTCAGCCATGGCCCGCTTGAAAATATAACGACCTGTCCTTCCCATCCCCATAAATTCTGTCTCCCATCAGCCCGCAAGGGCACTAGTCGTATAGGTATGACGAGAACCGGTAAAGTCGTCTACTAAAAATGTGGCAACAAGTTTCTTGGGCTAAATATGCCGAGACTATCATCCTGTCTTCCCCAAACTCTCCTAACCTGGGTCTTGCTAAGTTTCACCCAGTAAAATATCTCTATTGCAACCCTCCAAAACTGCATCGTAGATTGATTTATTTATTGGTTATGCTGATTGTCATCATGAGTCTATGGCAATGCAAAATATGCAGTTCTTCTTAGCAAACAGACCAACAATATCCATATCTAGGATGACGTACTCCCTTCTACGTCTCCTTCAGGACATTTTTTCAGTAGTAATACACCCACGGTTCTTTGTTTGAATAGAAGATAAATGTGCTGTTTTCTCATCTTGATCTCCCTTCTCTGAACAACTAAACTATCTGTTAGAATCTAGAATAATTGGCGCTACGAAGTAGGCCATGTTGTCGATACACACGTGACTACAAATTCTGTACTTAGTTTCACTTCGGTAGTTGCTTGAATCTATTCGCTCTACAACCTCAATGACTGAAGGTTCATTATTTCCATAATACTATGAGTATATAGCCTTATTTCACAGTTGTGTGAATGTGTAAAACGTGTGCGTGGTAATGTCATACATTGGCGCAGGGCGCTAGCGGTGCCCCTTTTTGTGGTTAAGAGCCTGGACCTCACGAAGGAAGCTGACAGTAGTAAACCACTTGTTTTAGCACTCTTAAGGCATCAAATCAAGTGAGCCTCGTTTTACCAACATAAAACATTACCACATACGGGTGTGTAGCTGCAGGGAGAGTCCTCAAAATGACCGGGTGCATAGCTCTCCTAATATTGACATCAGGACTAAATCCGAAGACATAGCTACCCCATTGAGGCGTTTAAGGAGCTGAACAGGAGGCCTATGTATACTTGAGAGCATCTCTCAAACTTTCTAGCAACTTCCTAATCCACCTAGTCTGTGCCGCATGACAAACAGACGATCCACAAGGCTTATCAGAAAAGCGTTTGTCGACAGCGAGTGCCACGAAAAAGCCTAGCCAACATCCGAAGATAAGAATTTTATTATAGCCTCTTCTAAGTCTAAGACTATGAAGGACTGCCAACATCTAAAGTTTGTTAATATAGGATTATGGAGTAATTCATGTAGATCGGATGCATTTCTCCCTAGAATTGTACATTCAAAGAGATGATAATGCCGATGCGTCGAAACTAGCTTTCCTTGAGGGCGGAAGAGTCTTTCAACTTGCTTTTGTCGACTTGTTCTTGCCCTACGGTGGGCAGAATGTGTTGGGATGTAACGAGAGCTTCTCTAACTACCGTTGCAGCGTTCAGCGACGCAGCCTCTGTCTTCTTTCCCAGCGTCATAATTGTCATAGGTTTTATCAGAAGCTTATCTTTGAGGGACGGGGAGACAACTTGGCTCAAAGATTAAAAAAAAACGTGGATTAATTCTGGCCCTGCAGACTTAATACTGAGAGCTAGAGGTCTATGGAAGATACCGGTGATAGTTGAGTTTTCATCCTCAGCCACACCATAGAGTTACTTATTACCAGCATTTTTTCAAAGAATCAGACTAAAACAGTTTACCTCATTTGATCGTCTACACCACGAGCCCACTTTGGGATACTGGCTCGATGAAGTGAGCACGGCACTTTAAGTCTCTATCTAAATATCGCTACAGAGCTAGATGGCAATATATATATGTGTTGCGATTTCACAGTAAGAGGAGCAGAAAGTGTAGCTCAAAGAATATTGTTTCCATTGAAGTTCTAAGTTACATGTAAAACGTGAATTTATGTCCGCATATCCTAGAGTTAAAGTGGGTATGCAAACAATAACTATTACGGTAAAAGGTTTGCAGCATAGCTGACCACGAAGCCATTAACGCCATCCTATTTGTTGGAAAGTAAACATGACCATATCTCTCACTGCATTTGCATCTAGTATCATACTACCGCGCACATGCAAATGCATGAGAGAATATCTCAACAGCGAAAAGAAACTAAAATGTGGCAAATTCCAACAATATGTATATATGGCCATGTCTTCACTTGTAGCTATCTCTAGCCCTCGATACTCCTCGTCTTACCTTGCTGCACCTCTCTGCAGCTTGATGCTAGGACATGGGGATATTGGGAGCCCAGTTTATTGCAGGCTCTAACCACATAGCCGGAAGAAAAACGCCATGTATTCTGCTTTCTAATTCAAGTACCCGGTATCTGAAATTGAAGGTCTCCGAGCAAAGTACGAGTCGAGTAGATTATTTGCTCATGAGAGATGGTGGCATCTATTGACTTTATCTCCGCACTGGGGGGCAAGGAACAAGTCTTTCCAGATTGATCCTGACTTACCTCGACTCCTCGACAATATCAATCTCAAGGGCTTCAATCTGATGCCAGCTTCATAGCCTATATCCTGCAATTCTTGAAGCTGGTGAGTCCTCAACCTCAACCTCAACCTGCTAAAACCAGGCTCGACTCTTACAATTTTAACAATATCACCAGTTGATAATCGAGGACTCTACGGGTACAAACGTCCTACGCCCTATCTGCAAATATACCTCGTAAATTCGTCATCACTACGTGCGAAGATTTGCCAACACGAAACGAGGCCGTGATGTGTAAGATTAAAGGACGAGTTTATCCTGATTGTCGATATTGTCATTGTGCAAGAGTAGCTCCAGGCCGCGCTCTCGGAGGGTCCATAGCAGAAAGATAATCTCCAGTGCGTGGCTTGGCGGGCCCAGATCCCGTCAATTTTGCATCTCTTGGTCGGGTAGGACAGAAAATAAGATTCGATACAGAATTACTCAAAAAAGAATAACATTTGACGTTGTGCGCGCCGTGCTACAGTTTTTCAATAGACTCTCTCTCGGTTTTCATGTTAGCAGGGGAACTATAAAGGCAGCTTCTAAACCCGAATTTTCAAATAGTGTATTCTGGCATCCGAATACAAAAGGGGGTGTTCTAGCCACTTGCACTTAGAGGAGTCTTGGCCAAGCTCCTGTATTGAATACCCAAGCGTTTTTACATACCTATCAAGGCCATTTGCCGGCAAAGACGAATTCTTCACCTTCCAATGGTGCCAGTGTATTTGATTTAAGTAGTTTAAAGCATCAGGCTAAAGCCCTTCACCCAGGAGGCTTGATATAGGTGCATGTGCCCAGAGGACTCAAAACTAACACTTAAGCTTGCTTTATATAGCCAGAAAATTTCATGTATGAAAACCAAAAATTTAAAGGAAAAATTTTGCTACCCTGACTCGACGTCCTGCGCCTTATCGGCTAATGGTGCCGGTGTACTTATTCGGTATACTCTTTTTTTGAATCATATTGTATTCAGCTATCTAGCTATGACAATTTAATATCCATTTATTTTTACATTGCACAATGACACCAGTTAACGCCCAAGATCACTTCTACATATGTCTTTATGTCCATTATTCTTAATAAAGATATGTGGGACACGGTATTACGTTGTAAATGTTGACTAATGAACCCTATAGCTACAGATGAAATCTATGTACTGCTATGAAGGTCATGTGACCTGTCTAGCTTAGTTTACATGAGTAGGTGAAATGTTACCCCTAGACACACCCCCTTACCTACGAAACTTTACGGGATTTCATCAAGCATCCAAGGTAGTCATGTTTAGTTGTCCGACAAACTTTTTAAAAAGAACAGACGACAATGCCTTTGTGAACCCGTCTGCAGCATTTTCTAATCCTGATTTCCATTCCAATTCAATTACTTTGTCGCTTATATATTCCCGCAGTAAGAACACAGGTACATCGTAATGTTTGCTCTTTTGAGTTACGCCCTGTCCTTTTATTTGCCTGTAGCCTGGCTGATTGTCATAGTAGAGGCAGACTATCTTTGCGTCGTCTGAGTTGTAGTTGATACTTCGAAAAAGATTTCGAAGAAACACAGCCTCCTTAGCTGCTTCAGCCATAGCATAGACTTCTGCCATAGTTGAAGAACAAGTAACCCTCTTCATTTGATACGAACGCCAAGAGAAACAGGCACCTTTCAGGAAGAAAGCCCATCCACCATGAGAGCGTCGCGTTTCAGGATCTTGGGCATAATCGGAGTCAGTAAAACCATGAAGCTGTAAGTTAGAGCCGGCACCAAAACTAAGACCCAGACGGGTAGTTTTGCAAAGATAGCGGTAAAGATAGCGAGCTGCTGCTATATGAATTGGAGAAGGATTAGAAAGAAAACGACAGAGCTGTGTCATGGTATAGGTGATATCTGGTCTTGTTTGAGTTGCAGCATACATTGCAGAACCAACCATCGACGCATAGAGCTCAATTTCCGCTGTAGAGGCAGTCCCTTCAAAAGGAATCAGGTGCTGTCCTGGAAGCATTGGTGTACTGGTTGGAGTACAATTTTTGAGGCTATACTTTTCAAGAATCTTCTCAAGATAGGCATCTTGATGGAGATAGAGGACTCGATTTGCTCGTTTGCGTACAATACGGACGCCGACATAAAACTCCGCAGGTCCCATATCCACCATTTTGAAAGAATCATGTAGGTGTCTTCGCAATTTCGAAACACTAGCCTCGGGACCAATGAGTAGAAAGTCATCTATAT